ACTTTAGACGTTTTGGCGCAGAACCTTCTTCAATTCGTCTTCTAGCTCTGGATTGCTTCTTAAAACTTTTTCAAAGCTATCATTAGCTTCAGAATGAAGCTAACAACTGATATCTTTCGCTGATAGCATTATCTACGAGCATTTGACTGACAGAGTATCAGCGACAGATCAGCGACGGATCAGGGACGGATGATCCTTTTAGCAACGGATTTGCGAGGGAAATTTCCCTCGTTGATACTCTACATTTTTGTAATGTTTTAGATACAATCTTATGACTTAAACAATTTGGTAATGTGGTAAAATAATGGAAAAGTTTGAAAAAAGTCAATGAACTTTCATATTTTCAACGATCAAGTCCCTAAAACATTTTTTTAACCAAAAAAATACTTACATCTATAAAATAAAAACAAATATACCAAACAAGTATTTTTATTTAAAAAAATCATTGATGAAATTTATTTTAATTAAAAATAAAATATATTCTGTCAATGATTTTCAAATTAAAAAAATTAAAAAAGATTTTAAAAAAATTACTGATTATATTTATTTAATTAAAAATAAAATATATTACGTATATGATTTTTTAAATTAAAAAAATAAAAAAAGTTTTAAAAACATTACTTATGAAATTTATTTTAATTAAAAATAAAATATATTTTCTTGGTGATTTTTCAAATTAAAAAAAATAGAAAATAATTTAGTTAAATTATTGACTTATTAACGATAAAATTTAAATAAATACATAATTAATTAAAATTCGTCGCTAATCCGTCAGTGAAATAATATCACCGACAAGATTCAAGCACAATTTTTCACACTTGTTAACATGTTAGAGTGTCTGACGATGGTCAAGTTAATTATCAATTAGATATAAATGATCAATGTATATATACCAACGAACACTAGCAACGAATTTTAAATAAATATGTGTTTAGTTAAATTTTATCGTTAATCCGTCAGTAATTTAATCAAATTATTTTCAATTTTTTTAATTTTGAAAATCACTAACGAAATATATTTTATTTTTAATTAAAATAAATTTAATCAGTAATCCATTTTAAATCTTTTTTTTAATTTGAAAGATCATATATTTTATTTTTAGTAAAAATGATTTTAATTACTAATCATTTTTAAATCTTTTTTAATTTGATAGAATATTTTTTATTTTTTATTAAAATAAATTTCATCAATAATCTTTTTTAAATGTAAGTATTTTTTTGATATATTTGTTTTATTATATAGATATAAGTATTTTTTTATTCAAAAACTGTTTAGAGATTTAATCATTCATAATATGTAAATTCATTGGTTTTTTCAGACTTTTTCTATTATTTTATCATATTAACCAGTTTTATAGGTTATAAGTATGTATTTAACAGGTTTTAAGAGGTACAAAGAGTTGTTTAATAAATTTTGAAATGTGTAGAAACTTATTTTATTCCAAAAAAATGTCAAAATACTTAGGGTGCGTTTGGTTTGCAGGAATGTTTTTGAGGGATTTGGATTCCATGGGATTTGGATTGGATTGGATTTAAAATCCATCATGTGTTTGGTTTGCAGGATTTGGATTGGATTTAAAATCCATCCTCTGTTTGGTTTGTAGGATTTGTAGTATTGGGTCTCCTTACTCACTTGACAATTATCGAGAACTACAGCAAAATTATCGAGCACTACAGCAAAATTGAACCTAATCTGTATATTCAACCTAATCTGTCAAGATGTATATTCAACCTAATCTGTCAAAATTGAAGGATTTAACCTAATATGTGTTCATAGTTTAGGGGAAAAGGGATTTACCTGTTGAGTGATGGGAGAAGGCAGTGGGCGACGGCGACGGTGAGCGACGACCATCGACGGAGGCGGCGACGGAGACGGAGGCGGCGACGGAGACGAAGGGCGACGGCGACGGCGACGGAGACGAAGGGCGTCGGCGACGAAGGGCGACGATGACGAAGGGCGATAGAGACGAAGGCCGACGGAGACGAAGGGCGACGGCGATGAAGGGAGAGGGCGACAGAGATGAAGGGCGACGGCGACGGAGACGAAGGGAGACGGAGGGCGACGGCGACGGTGAGCAATGGAGGAGCGATGTAAGCTATGGGAGAAGATGGAGACGAGTTTAGCTCTGGATATGGAGATGGAGACGATGTACAGCTGTGGGAGAAGATGGAGCGATGTAAGCTGTGGGAATGGATTTTAAAATCCCGTGTATTTTCAAAGGATTTCCAAATCCATCGTTTAAGGGATTTCAAATCCTCACAATCCAGCAAACCAAACACAGGATTGGAATGGATTTCAAATCCAAATCCCTCACTTCCATTCTAATCCGCAAACCAAACGCACCCTTAGATTATTACAAATTTAGACTTTTTCCAATTACTTTTTCCAAACCAAAAACATAAGATGACCGTAACTTCTTGTTGCCATTCTAGCATTGTTCATTACAAATCCATATGAGGCATACCAAGTAGCTTTAGATGAGATGGCAGAGATAGGATGCTTTCGACTGTGCAGAAACGTTGTGAACTTATGTTCCTTCTGTCAATCACAACCACCAATAATCAAACAGATTCATCACCATAACTGTCAACAAAGACCCTTTGAGTCTTCATTTCAATGGCGAGTTTGTCCAACCATTAAGTACCCACATCGTTTCTCTTCAAATACCAACAACCAATTCAGGGTGAACTCTATCAGAGACAGTAGTGGAGATCAAACCACTATGTCTGCTTCATCTGCCTACCAAGTGCTTGATGTATTGCCAGATTGCAGTTTGTCTGATCTTAAAGCAGCTTTTCGTGCCAAAGTACGTTTTTACAATTTTTGTTTGATTTTTTTTATTATACAAACTTTGTGACCAAAGGTTTGGTCTGTGATATTGCAGTAAACTTAGTGTCATAGAGTTTATAAACACTCGGGTCAACATATGGAGGCGGTGTTCACCAATTTTCAAAACTGATCTTGATTGTGAACATAGAGTCCATTTTAGGGGAGCGTATTAGTAAATTTGTTCTATCTGTAATCATTCATGCTCTTATTGTTTTTTCCAGGTGAAACAATTTCATCCTGATGTTAGAAATTGTGAACATAGAGTCCATTTTAGGGGAGAGTATTAGTAAATTTGTTCTATCTGTAATC